CTCCTGCCAGCACTGGGAACGCACAGGGTGGCACCGTGTGAGCATGAGGTGTGTGGGGCGCTGGGGTGTCCGTGGCCAGTTGAGGGATCTGAAGGTGACTTTAGCGGCTCATGGACAGGCTGCCTGATAGGGTCTGTGATGCATTTAGCAGTGCTGGTATCCCTTTAAGTTCCTCTGAGAATTCTCCCTTCTGCTCTTCCAGCCTCGCTCTTCAGTACTCTGGTTGGGGAAGAGAGAAATGGACCTCCATGGCAGCATCTGGCACAGCGGGGGAAGCTGGGTGCTCACTCAAGCGCTCTCACTTTCTCCTGCGGCAGAAATCACGGACTGAAAAGGTCTCTCTTGGCCCTAAGCTGGGCTGCCTTAGGGAAGTGGGGGCGCCAGTAAAGTCAAACTGTTCTCTTGCCCTCTCCAATGCATCCAAATGCATATAGATAGATAGATAGATAGACAGATAGATAGATATAGATATATCTATACCTATATCTATATATATCTACACACACACACACACACACACACTTTTTTTTTTTTTTTTTTTTTTCTCTGATAAATGCTGGAACTTGCCCCCTGGAAACCTAGACTCCTGCAAAAGTTCTCTTTGTGGGTGATGGTCGAAGACAGTGTTTTCCAGGGGCTCCCCGACTGGCCAAGAGGGGCTGGAGACAGTTCGTGGGCCCCGCAACCTCTACAGCTGGGACCGAGGTCTGTGTGCCTATTGTCTGATGCACAGGTGGTGACACTCCTGGGTTCCTTGGCTTACGGTGCCGGGCCCCACAGCGCCCCCACAGGCACTTTTGCTTGTGGATGGATGCTCCCTTGTCGTTGAGTGGGGGGACAGGACGAAGGATATATCTTATTCAGCCTCGATGCTGATATCTCCACAGAGTTCCTTGGGGAGCGCTACTGAACAAAGAACCACCTGCTGGCTCGCGGGGCCTGCGTAGTTTAAAGTGAGAAAAGGCCTCTGGGCCCCCAACTTGCTAAGGGCAGGAAGAGGTTTAAGAGAGTTGCTCAAAGGGCATATTTTTCAAAGTGATCACGAAGGTGCTGGAAAAGAAGGGCTATCCCCGAAGGCAGAGGCAAGAGTCAGGTTGGGATGTCGCCTGCGGGAATGCTCCCACCAAGAGAGACTCACCACATCAAGGGACACTGGTCGCTCCTGTGCACCCCGCAGATGTTTGCCTGTGGGGGTCAGAGTTGCTGCAGACAGGGAGTGTGCTGCGTGTCCCGTGCCCGCCTCTCCAATGGAAGCGTTGGCTGTGGCTCTCCTCCCCCAGCCCACCCGTGAAGGCTGGCGTGGGGGAAGACCACTTGGCACGTTAGTGTGCAGGTCCCTGGACCGAGGGGAGCTGCACCTGAGGGGCCACATCCAACCTCGTGCAGATCATGAGACCTTGGACTTTTGAGCCTGAGGCTGGGGATGGAGGAGACTTGGGGGATCTTGGGAGGAAGTTAGTGTTCTTCAGGTGAATAGATGGGAATCATCAAGGGCGAAAGGATAGGCTGCGGGAGATCTGACTATAAAAATGGCCTCAATTCTCCATGGATCCCTTTATCCAGGCCCTTTGTATATGACTTTGCTGCATCTCTTGTCAGAAGGGGCAGTTTATTTCCCTACCCCTTGGCTCTTACTGTCTTTGTGACTTTTTCTTATGGCCAGATTATGTCAAAAGTGCACAAAGCACAGTTCACTAGTTCTGTGCCTGGATCTCATGAAGTTTGTGGGCTTTTTCTTGGTGGTGCTTGTCATGTGGACCATACCCCTAACCCTTCTGGGGGACGAGAGGCCAGATGGAGTAAAGATGAGCCATCTCAAGCCATTCAAACCAGCTAGTTCTCTTCCAGCCAGGTGGCTGGCCAGAGCCACAGAGCAAAGGTCATCCAATACCAGAAGACCCACTCAGCTAAGAGCTGCCCAGCTGGCCAGCCCACAGAATCATGAGCCAAGTAAATGCTGTTTTAGGTAAAAAATTTCATGTTTGTCATGCATTATTATTGCAGTGGATAGCAGATATAGTTACTAATAACAGCTAACTTCTGTGAGAAAATTACCAAGAGAGATAGTACAAAACCGAATGGTTGTCCCTTTTTAACCAAGCTATAAATGATGAATATGCTCTCATTGTTTTTAAAATTTCATAGAAGTGAAACTTGGTGATAACTTAACGAGGCACATTAAAGAACTAGAAGAAAAGAAAAGAAAAGAAACAGACAAATTGCCCTGGCTGGTGTGGCTCAGTGAATTGAGTGCCTGCCTGGAAACCAAAGGGTTGACAGTTCAATTCCCGGTCAGGGCACATGCCTGGGGTGCAGGCCAGGTCCCCAGTAGGGGGTGTGTGAGAGGCAACTGATGGATGTTTCTCTCACACATTGATGTTTCTTCTCTCCCTTTCCTCTTGCTCTGAAAATAAATAAATAAAATCTTTAAAAAAAAACAGACAAATTATACAGAACTGAAATTCGAGTTGTGGGTTCTGGGGAATATGCCAAAAATAATTGGATAGTAAAATATCAAGGTAGCATAGCAATGATGAAATTTATAGTTTACTTATATACAATTGTAATGATGATAAAATCCACTTAATACTTTTGTAGACATACATTAATGTCTAATAGCACGCAACAAAATAAGCTAAGGAGCACTAGAGAGGCAAAAGGGAAGAGTGTGAAAATAAGAGTAAGCTTAAAAACATTTCAATTCAGACTTGGTTAAAATTAAAAAGAAAGACATGGGCTAGCATGGAATTTGGTGAGAAAACGATCTGGAGGCAAATAAATCTTGCTGGCACAAGTACTATAAGAATTCAAGGTGAGGCAAGCGACTGACTTATCATCTCAAAAAGATCAAAATGACTAAGTTGTACTTACATTTGATGACCAAGCGCAGCTCTTTACATGTTCATTTATGCAGGCTGTGTCTTGTAATATACTGCATGATTCCTCTTCAATGTTTATGCTGCGTCTCCAAGCAAACAGTGTCTTAAAAAAAAAAATTGTACTTATTTCTCAAGGCTGCAGCCTATAGCATGAAGGTAGTAAAGCTTTCAGGTCATTTTACATATGCATATTATAGTTAATTGTACCTGTTATAATGTGTCTTGTAGAACGTTTTATGAGTTCTAAACCATGATTGTAAAGGAAGTTTCATCTGCTCACGAGCCTGGTGACGATGGCCCCCCTAGGACCTCCGTGGTCTTGGAATTGTTACCCCATCCAGAACAGAAACTCTCCTGCGCACCTGAACAGTGTCCCAGACCGTAAGTGTGGACTTCCCCAGTACCAGTTAGGTTAGCTGAGTAGATTCAGTGATGTTTCTAGCAGATTTATTTTCAGAAACATTGAAGTTTCCTGATTCCACTGTGGTTCCTGCCCCACGGGCACCCCTCCGTTGGTGATCTCTCCCTTGCAATGATCTATGTGTGAGGCTTTCACTGTGCTTCTGCCCTTCTTCCCCACCACTCCCCTTACCCTCTGTGTCCTCCCTTCTATGACACATGGGCTTTCTTCTGTCTCCTGTTTCCATGAAAGTCCCGTTTTCCTCATTGGCTTTAAGGAAGCTCAGCTTTCCTCCAAGCATTCTGCTTTGCCAGCAGCTACCTTTAAGTTTGGGCGTAAAGTCACCCTTTATTCAAACAGGAGGTGGGGTTGGGGTCAGCGCTCTCCTAGTTTGCTAAGTCTCTTGACTATCACCATCCCTTCCTCCTAGGTAAAAATAGCTGCTCCTTTAAGATAGTGAATTAGTTGTTCCGTTTATTTACACATATTGATTGAGCACTGACTTCATGCCAGGTATTGTGCTGCAAGTTGGGGTGACAAGTGATTTGCAAAATTAGATATCAGTTCCTGTCCTCATGATACTGTAGTCTGGTGACAGACATTAAACAGACAATCATGGTGCTGTGAATGCAAATAACGGAATGTCAGGGAAGCCTTCCCTCATTAAGTGAGGACTCCACTGTTGTGAAACTGGGTGATTGGAATTAATTAGGGACGGTGAAAACACGAGGTGGTGGGGAGAAGGTTTCAGGCAGTTTCAGCGCCTGAGCATGCGCTAAGTCCCTGTGGTTGCAAGAGCATCGTGCCAATGACCCGGAGGGGCAGTGATGGCCACAGCACGAGGAGGAAAGGAGGCTGCGGTTGGTCGGAGCCTGACCGCATGTAGTTTCATAGCGCATGATTAGCATTTGGTCTTTATCTTGAGAGCAGTGAGAAACCACTTTCTGGTCTAAGGAAGGGGATGAAACGATTGGATTGATGTTACAAAAGTATCTCTCTGGCTCCAGTGTGGGAAGTGGGTCTCCGCGTAACAGAGAAGATGTGGAGTCCAGCAGCAGGACGGTTGTGGTTTGGATAATGGCAAAAGCCATGTGGATGGCGAGAAGCGGCGTCCAGGGGAGATACTTGAGTAGATGAAGAGTGTGGAACATGCGGATCACGAGTCCTAAGAATCTGTCCAACTGGTGACTGGCGATGCCGCTCTATGGGCAACAGTTAGATGTCCCATTTATTTACTTAGCAAATACTGACTGAACCATATCTTGGGTTGAAAACCAGCACTCGGGGTGCCTCTGGCTTGTTTCAGTGCACAGGTTACCACGGCTCACTTCTGGTGACCGTAGCTCTGAGCCCTCAGATGCGCACGCCGATACCACGTCCTGGACCCGGGTCTGAACTCCAACCCTCTCATTCCTTGAAGGAGTATTAACTGAGAACCTAGCAGGTCCAGGGGCACCGAGTGGTCTAGGAACCATCCTTACTCATTTTGGAGGAAAAGACCCATGATTAACGGCGTTATCACGTGTAGCGTGTATTTCACCCCAACATACTTGGCCGGCAACAGAAGCGGACCCGCCGAGAGACACGAACCCAGGGTGATTGGATGAAGAGAGCGCGCGGAGAACGTTCTACGCATGCCCTGGGCCACAGTTTCCGCGTTGGCGGACTCGGGTTACGCCACCTCGAGGCGTCTGCGCGCAACGTCACTTTCCGGCGCCGTCAGGAAGAGGTGCAGGGCTACGCACGTGGGTAGTGGCGCGACGACCCGGCTCATGGCTAGTTCCGCGGGGCTGTCGCTGTGCGGGCAGGCGCTGGTGGTGCGCGGTGGCAGCCGGTTCCTGGCCACTACCACTGCGAGCAGGTGAGGGGTCTGGGCTTGCAACAGGGAACTGAGGCTGCGAGCACGCGCCGGGGCCTGGAGACCCTAATTTCCCTGTACCGCTGGGGCTGTGCCCGTACTGGGGTGCCCGCGGGAGTCCCGCCACTGCCTCGGTCTGGCTGTGTGCCTGCGCCGCGGAGTGTCGGTCCTTTTAGCCCTGCTTCCTAGAACCGCGCCGGGCGCACCCCTCGCCCCCTGCCTTGGGCCCCGCCCCTTCGGCGTCAGGTCTGCGGCTTTCTCTGCAGGGATCTGCGGATTGTAGGAGGGCCTCGGTAACAGGGGGCTATGAGACCCAGGCTGGGACCAACGCGGAGTCCCGGGCACGCCCGCCAGACCCTAACGTAGGGAGCACGGCGGCTCCTGGCCTTCCTGGTTTCAGGCGTCTGTTATTCCGGAACGTGTGCCGGCTAACTGAGCTCCGGGCGCACTCCCTCTCGCCTCCCTTGGCTGGCGGTGGGGCCTGCTTCCTCAAACTCGGCATCCGTCGACCCCCCGCTCTGCTTGCTCTTCAGGAGTCGAGGGTCTTAAAACTCCAACTCCTTACTCGAGGGTGTACAGTCTGCAGCGTTCAACTCCCTAGTGGCCCTTCACGCATTTGTGCCTTTGCTTTCCCGAATTTGACACGCCTCCCTTGTCGTTTCCCAGTGTGTACACAATGCCCGGGATTTTTAAATTAGGAAGTGTTTGTTGCTCTAGTAATGTTGAGTCAGGAAGGAGCCTCCTGGGTATTAGTTGTGGTCAGTGCCTGCCCCTTGTTTTTCCCCAGGGTTTCGACTCTCACACTTGAAACAGATGACATGTCTAACGAAGGTGCTGTCAGTGCTCAGTATTCAGTGGTTGGTTTCAGAAATCCACCTCGATGTTAAATTAAGGGTTCACAAAAAATTTACTCACAAACCTGTCATGTACGCCAGCCTTCTTTGTTTTTGAGGTTCCCAGTGTCTAACACATGCCACAGGGAGACATCTATCTGCTTGCTTCGCTAGTGGCCTGCACCTTTTCTGGCTTGAAAGGCTACTTCTCTTTTCTATGCCTCCATGCTCCATACAAAAAGAGTTTAAAGTGCAGTCACTTTAAAGGCTATAAATTTGTACAAGATGCCTTCCCCATTCCAGGCACTGGAGGTGGGGGTGGGATAAACCACAGGGAACCCGGGGTCTGATGGGAGAGGTGGTTGGCAGTGATGGGGAGGTGAGACATTTTTCCTAGACAAGAAATGGTAGTTTTAGTTTTGGGTACAAAAAACCCCACTGAAAACAGTATCAGGTGAAATGACAATTGTATCAGGTTAGTTGAAAATTGTATCAGGACACAATTTCATCTAACATAACCATTTTGTCTTAGTTAGTGCCTGAAAGGATAGTATATTACCTCCTGTTGAGCGTTTGTTCTCACGGATCTTACTGATTTGTGCACAGAACCATGGCAGCTGGGTATGGCAAACCTACCCAGAGATTGGGCAAATAGAGCTCCATGGCTGTTCCCTGCAGTAGCGTACCTAGACTAGATGGTTCCCTGTTGTGGCTAAGACCTTTAGAGTATTTTTCTGTTCCAGGGACATAAAAGAAATGAGCATTTTTATGAACAAAGTGTGCCTTTTAAAAATGTTTCTGTTATCTTTCTTTAGTGATGATGACAGTCTCTTCACATATGATTGCAGTACTGCAGGAAAGAAGCCACAAGAAAACACAGGGTGAGATGGTGGGGAAGCCTCTTCAGGGCTCGATTCGGGGTCTGAATAATGGGGCCTGTCAGCCTGAGAAGGAGAGTGTCGTTTTCTCGCTGAGTTCTTCATTTTTCTTGACCTTGCTTGGCGGATAAACCACCTCAGGAAAGCACTGGGGAACTAATTTTCAAATTTAGGCGTTAAAAATATTAGAACTTTTCAAAATACTTGTAATTCATTTCTATCAGTAATGATTGTATTGGCATCTTGAAATAATACAATCAGTTTTAAGTGCATTGGGGGGCAGTTGTATGAAATTATCTTTAGCTAATTGAAAGTAAGAAAACCAGAGTGTGACAATTTTATATGGTAACTTTGTTTAGTAGAATTGGTCTAGTGGCTCATTTATTTTTTAAAAATTGTTTTGATCCCTGCCTCTAGTCTTTTTTTTTTTTTTTGAGATTTTATTTATTTTTAGAGAGAGGGGAAGAGAGGGAGAGAAACATTGATATGTGAGAGAGACAATAGGTTGTCTCTCCCATGCCCCCAACCAGGAACCCAGCCCACAACCTAAGGCATGTGCTGCGATTGGGAATTGAACTGGCGACCCTTCGGTTTGCGGGACGACGTTCAACTCACTGAGCTGCACCAGCCAGGGCCCTGCCTCTAGTTTTGAATTCATGTCCATGAGGGAGTGGGCCATATGGTCACTAAAGGTCCTTCTAGCTCAGCTCTTTGGATTTTGGTGTGTTTACTGAGAGGTCTTTCTGTTTAGATTTTACTCCTTAAACATTGGAACTGTGTGAATCTCCCCATGTCCCCTGAAGAGGTCCGATAGTCTGGCTACATGAACCTCATGGCATTTTGTACCTTTGCTTGCATTAGAAATGAATGAGGCTGGCCTGGAGGAGCACAGCCTTATCGACTCAGCTGGCCTTAAGGCCTCACTGCTCCCCTCGTCTCTTTCTCAGGGAGGACGGACAGCTGCTGGAGAAGGGGAGTGACACGATCCTGGCGTCCACCTTCTCCAAGTCCGGAAGCTATTTTGCGTTAACTGATGACAGTAAGCGTCTGATTCTTTTCCGTACAAAACCATGGCAATGTCTGAGTGTCAGGTATGAAATGCTAACATTGAATAATTACGATGTTGAACGCATAACTTACACTTGCATGCCGATAACAGTAGTGACAGTAACAATTATAACATGCAGCTAACACATAGCGCCGGTGGTTTGCCCAGGGCCTCTGACGGGTGGGGGCATTGTCTTTCCCCTCATCTGCTGGCAGGGAGTCTGGAAGCTGATCCCAGTCAGATTGGAAGGGCACAGCCAGGTCCTGAACCTGGTCACTTTGGCTTCAGAGTCGGCCTAGTCAATGTGCCGTCTTGCTTTCCAAACTGTGTAGTGACAGGAATAAAAGTCAGCACGCGCCCAGAGAGAGCCAGTCAGAGTTTTGTGTAAGCTCAGGTACCTGCGCTTTAACTCGGCTGGTGTTTGGGGTTAGAGAGCTTATTTCTAAGTATTGGGGAACAGATGGGAGCTCAGTGCTGATGCGGGAGGATGGCAGGAGCCCAGCTGGAGCGTAGGTGTCCCGGGGCCGAGGCAGCTGCTCTTACCCACAGGGCCTTTAAGTGTTCCTCGGCCTTGCTTGTTCCTCTTCCGGATCTCCCGCCACCCCTGGCAGGGAGGCAGTGCTGCAGCCCAAGGAAGCCTTGCTCCCCGGGAGCCTCTTTGTCCCCTCACTGCCACGTCCTGGGAAAGGAGGTAGGCGGCCCTGACACATGGCACCGGGCAGGTGTCAGCGGCTGTGGACTCCAGCAGTCGCCTGTGAGCAGTCTCTCTGTTGCTTTAAGATGACGAAGGCTGGAATCTTTCTGATGGTGCTGCAACGCCAATGGAACTGTCCACACGGGGCCGAGTCAGTCCCCTCCTTCTCTCCCTGGGAGGCGGCATGGTGTCACTGTCCCTTGGTAATGAAAGGTCCAGAGAACATGTGCAGGTGATAATGTTTGAGCTATTAAATGACCAGGGTTAAGGAATTTTCCTTTGTGCTGGGGACAGCTATGCCATTTAGATCCTTACTTTATTTGCTACGAGAAGAATAAAAAGCTAAATTCCAGGTGTCATCACAAGCAAAGAATGCCTGTTCTGCCCTGTATTCCATTCAGGTTAGAGGTCAAGTTTGGCAACATCACTTCCTTTTTATCTTACTTATGTTTTTACATGTTCCGCAACAGACGCCCCTGATTTAAAACCTTTAATAGACACGTGAAACAGAAGGACGTCCAGGGAAGTGTAGACCTCCCTCCAGCTCCGCTCTCCACCTCTCTCCCCACAGGCAGTTGAGAGTTTCCCAGTAGAAGAATCACTTAAAAATGTGTTGCCTTGTGTGCGGGTTGTAACTGATAACGGAATTGCTTTTTTTAGCTGACTGCTCTGAATTCACATCATCCTTAACTTGAATGGCCCATTGTGCAGCATTTTCCTGCCAAAATAGCCTGAACAGTCGCTAACATTTAGAATGTGGAAGATGTTAAGTGTTTTCAGGATTTGGGGTAAATACTGCAAGGGGCCTTGTGGGTTGTGATGCAGAGCTTCTCCCACAGGGATGTTTGCACTTGGCCTTGGTTTCGAGTTGCTTCTACAACCCTGAGCGGGGAGCGGGCGGCGGCGGAGGGAGGGATGTGAATACAGGAAGCAAGCCAGTGAGAAGCACACGAGTGACAGCGATGACAGAAGACGGTAGCTGTCTTAGTCAGCGTGGGTCTCTGACCAACACCACAGCATGAAAAAACATACCTCCTTCACACCGTTCCGGGGTTGGGATTCCCAGACTTGTCGGCAGGGCTGGCTTGCCCGCGGGCCTTTCTCCTTGGCTGGTTGGCTGGTTGGCTGTTGGCTGGTAGATTGCTGTCTCCTTGCCTTTTCACATGGTTGTCTCTCTGTACCTGTGTCTCTGGTGTCTCTTTGTGTTCTTAAACATAATAAATCTCATTTTCCTGTAGGAGAGGTTCCAAAAATGAGTTGCCAGGTCAAAACATAGGTGCATCTGTAATGTAGGTAGAGAATCCCAGGTTCCTTGGCACACACTCTGCCTCCTGGTGGGTACGGTGCCTCTTTCCTGCCCTGCCAGCACAGGGTGATACCAAGCCTGATGACTTCAGACAGCCTGACAGAAGGAAGCTGGTGTCCTGTATACCTAGTTATGAGCAAGGAAGAGCATATTTTATCCTTAAGAACTAGTGTCTGCACTGGCTTCTTAGGTGAACTTTGCTCTCCCGCTGGGCTGTTTCCAGTCTCATTCAGTTGTGTATTAGGGAGGCTGTGTTGTAGAGGAGCCCATCTATGCCAGGTTCTTGCCCGTGGCCTTGGCCTTGGCCTTTTGTAACACAGCACATGGACCGAGAGCTGCTCAGGGCCGTGGAGGCTGGGCCAGCCTCTTCCTGGGCACCCGCCTTGCGGCAAACTTTGCAAAGGCCCAGAGTCCGGGACGACTGCCGGTCTGTGCTCTCTGGGCCGACTGACGGGAGGGCCCTCGGCAGGACTGGCCTGGTGCCATGGCTGCGGGGGGGTGGCCGGGATCGGGGAGCCGAGGACAGGTCCTCGGGGTTGCTGTGCCCTATTGTGGGAATCTGCAGCTCACCAGCAGGTACTTGGTTACTGCGGCTGCTTTAAGACCTCACCTTGGAGGGTTTTGAGGAGAAGCTGAGGAGGAAGTTGTTAGCAGCAGCGATTCTTTTCAGGGTAAAAGAGTGACTGAGGGCAGAGAACTTGTGGAGCAGCAGGTCAGTGAGACCCCAGGCCCAGAACTGGGGCCAGAAAACCAAGGATTTTTGAATCAAAAATGAGGACGACACCAGGGTGAAATACTTTCTGTTTTGATGTGTGCTTTTATTAATAAGAAATCTTACACACAAAATCATACTGTCTTATACAAAATGCCTGTATTAAAATAATAAAAGCCTGTGGAGAGAAGGCAGAGTCACTGGAAGTCAGGCCTGGGTTTGTCCTACCCTCAGGGATCTAGGGACAGGGAGTCTGGCGGCTGGGACGTGCGGTGCTGGGAAGCTCAGTGTCCTCAAGGCCGGCAGGCCTGGCGGGCTGCGAGGCCTCTCCTGGTCACCCTTGTTGAACAAGGGTGGCTCCCTGGAGGTGGGCTTGGGGGCGGCTCGGGGCCTGGCTCCACAGGCATGTCCCACTCACCCACAGGAGGGAGGCTGGTGGGGAGAGGGGCAGGTCGGCCCTGGGGCCTGAGGATGTGCGGGGCTGGGAACTCAGGCGCTCCGTGAAGGGAGGGAAGTGCTGAGGCCCTGCATAGGCTGGAGGTAGCTGTGACCCCTACCTCCCCCTGGGGCCACCAGCTGTCCTGTCCTATCCTGTGACCTGCCCTTCCCCTCCCTCCTGCTGCCTGACTCCCCCAGACCCAAACCCCTAAACCCACTCCGTGGAGCTGGGCCGTGTCTGGAATCACTGCCAGGCCTTCTAGCGTGAGCAGCTGAGAGCCCCCATCTGGCGCAAGACAAAGGGACAAGATGTGGAGCTGAGTGGGCGTCGGGTGCTGTGTGTGTCAGGGGTTGCAGTGAAGGGGGATTGTCCTGCTGCTGGGAATCCAGGCCCCGGCGTTCCTGGAGGACTGTCCTAGCTGCGGCTCCAGAGAGTGGTGGCCAGGCTGTCACAGCGGCTTGATTGGCCCACTAGAATGAGCACAGGCCGCTGTTGGAATCTGAGAACTGGGGGAAGTTGAAGACTCGTGCCCCCAGCCTGATTGCTTCTCTTTTGTCGTTTTATTCACCGTATTTGTGTATTGTCTCTGTCTGTGATCCTCCGGCCTTTTCTGTCCCTTTGTCCCTCTGCTCCTGAGAAGCTCAGGGTCCTGTTTGGATGCTGTGTTGGGGAATAATTTCTTTAGGCCTCAGTTACCATTTCAAGCCAACACTGGAGCTCAACGTGCCCAGAGCTGGCGCAGCCGCCAGAGCGTGCGCTGGCAGGGCTGTTGTGGGCGCTTGCGTCGACCTGTGTCCGCCGGTGTGAGCCAACCGTGGGCGTCTCTCTGGCCTCCTAGGACCGTGGTGAGGAGGTGCACGGCCCTCACATTCACAGCCTCTGAGGAGAAGGTTTTGGTGGCAGACAAGTCTGGGGACGTTTACTCCTTTTCAGTGCTGGAGCCACACGAATGCGGCAAACTTGAACTTGGGCACCTATCGATGCTGCTGGATGTGGTATGTGGGTGAAGGGCTTATTAACTCGGCTGTGGTCAGACTCGGGTGGGGCGTGGGTGGGAGTGGGCTCTCGTGTAGCGGGGGCGCCCTCTGCAGATCTGTGAGCAGGAGGAACAGAACCCAGGAAAACGAAGCTGAGAGCCGGCGAGTGAGGAGGGGCGGTGGTTCCGGATGTGAGGGTAGGCACAGGTCAGGATGACGAGGTGGAGGGGCGTGAGAAGAGAAGGCACAGGCAGCGGGTCAGGGTTTGCCCTTCGTGCCTCACGGGCATCACCTTGGTGTCCTCTCAACCCCTGAGCCAGGAGCTGTGGCCCCGGAGGCACCTAGAGGCCCAGGGAGGGCTGGGCTGCAGCCCTGGGTGGTGGAGCGGGGGTGAGTTCCCACCGGGACATGCAAAGCATAATGTGGGGCGGACAGTAGTCGGGACTTGTTGACTGGCTGGACGTGGGGACGTGTGACATAGGAAGGAGAGGAAGGTGACTTGGTGCCGGAGACAGGAAGGCGTAGGTGGCAGTAATGATGAATTGTGGTGAGAGGGTTTCTGCATGAGAGGCTGGAGGCAAGGGGGCCCGAGGGATAGGAGCAGCGGAGCGCTGCTGGCTGTCCCACGAGTGGATCTGTCCTTCCTCACCCCTTGCACGCAGGCCGTGAGTCCTGACGACCGCTACGTCCTCACCGCCGACCGGGATGAGAAGATCCGGGTGAGCTGGGCTGTGGCCCCGCACAACATTGAGGCCTTCTGCCTGGGACACACCGAGTGAGTCTCCCCCCCGCCCTCCGGCCTCCCGGGGATGGAGCTCAGGTTTGACGCACAGAGTGGGTCCTTCGTTTGGGGAGCTGGTGGCCAGGTGGCAGCTGGCGTGAGCTTGTAAACCTTTGGGGAGGAGGAGAGCATCCCATGGGTGGCTTCCGGGCGAGGCGCGTGCTCGCAGGTGGTCAGGGCCTATGGCACCGTGACCTGCAGGATCTCCTGCCTTCACGTGTGTCAGGGAGAGTTTTCTCGTTGGCTGTCTGCCGGCAGGGCCTGTGTGTGTGCAGCTGAGAGGCCCCCCTCAGAGCCGTTGCTTCTAGTCTGTTACCCATGACCTGCCGTGGCAGGGGGCTTGTTCTAGAACACCCCGCTTTCTCAGTGTAGACCATGGCTGTGGTCAGCAGTCACTAGGTGGGTGTGTTGGGGACAAAAAACATATTTTTCTACTTTTACCCATCCAGGAATTAAAAAGCCTCTGAACCCAGACAGTTGTTGCTCTGTGATCTCTGACTTGTGCCCGCGAGCTCTTTCTGCAGTTGAATTATAAGGGAGGCACTTCTGATCGGTACTTTCTTCTCAGGCAGAAGGCTAATTTTAATGCACACAGAGGAAAAGGAAAAACAGTTTGCTTGGCTGAAATGTGTCAAATATGTTGTATGAGGCGGTGGGAGACATTGGAGCGGTGCCGTTCAATTCTAAGCTTGCTCCTGCTTCCTTGATGTTGAAATTTAACGTACAAATTGACCCTCAGAGAGGTCGATGGACACTTAGTGTGCGCATCATGACGGCTTCTTTTGGCTTCTGCTCCGTCCCCTGGTCATTCAGCACCTGGAGCCCTTGGCGCCCTCCGGCCTTTGCCTGCTGCTGTGCGTCGCCGGGGTCCTTGCCAACCCGCACACCCCTGTCCTACGCCTTTGACCGCGCTGTTTACACAGGCAGGCACACTCGTCCTCACAGCTGTGCCCCTGGTGCTCCCCCCGCAGCTTCGGCCGCCGCCCCAGCCCCGCAGAGGAACCCCCAGCCGTGTGCCTCGCCCGTGCCATCCAGGTCAGGGGCTGCGGCTGGTCACTCTGAAGCGAGGCATTCCCTTTGTGCCGAGCAGTGGTTTCAGAGACTTAGCGTGAAAAATGGGGTAAAAATGGCTCGTTATTCACGTGTCGCACTGATTGCAGATGGAAGTGATGATGCTTTGGATGTACTGAGTGAAGTGAGAGCACAACGTGAAGGTTAACGTCACCCGTGTCTGTTTGGTTTGTGGACACGGTCGCCATCAGCAACTTGAAGGGACCCCGGCTCTGCGTTTCTGCTGGCACACCCGCTCTCTGGCCTGTCCCTCTCCGGTCCACTCTGGGGCTGCTGTCGCTCTTGCCTGTTGCTCTCTGTGGCCCCCAGCACAGTGCCTGGCAAGTAGCAGGCGCTCAGTAGGTGCTTCAGTGAGGCAGTAACGACTCATTGATGATATTTAAGAATCTTCTTTAAAACGCGTGGAAGCTGGTCCCCGCCTCTCTCCTGGGGAGTCTGCGGTGACTCAGGCCCTGCCCATCGTGGTGGGCCCAGGCTGCGTTGATCCCACAACCTGTGCCTTCCCTTTTTCAGTTGGGCTCCTGATGGGGCGGCTGCAGCCAAGACCGGGCCCCGGAGGCGCGGGAGCACACGGCCCCTTCCCAGGCGGCCCCGGGGCCCGTACGTTAGTCATCCGGTTGCGTCCCCCTCACAGCGACCAGAGGCCGGTTTCCGACTCCCTGACCTGAGCTGGTTTCTGGGAGGAAGTGGTTCCTTGGGCCGGGGGACAGCTGGTCTGATTCTGGCCTCTGGACAGTGTTGCTGCTCCTCTGTCCCCCACTGTCCCCCACGTCTCAGCCCGGGGACCCGATGGCAGGGTCCTTCAGTGAGAGTCCCTGGAGCTGAAGTGCTGTGCGCCGGGCAGCAGGGAGCAGCACACGCTGTGGGTCTCCCGCAGGCGTGGCCGGGCACCGTACCTGGGCCGGGGGGCTGTCCTTCGTGGGGGCCCCGAGAATGCCACGGCCAGCGCGCTCCCCTGGCTCCCTCACCGCCATCTGCGTGGCCACTCCAGTCACACGTGTTCTCATCTCAGTTTCTGTTGGAGTCGGGGGGCTGGGGAGGACGGGGGCGGAAGGCTCCTCAGCGAGGTGACAGGCGTGCGGGCGTCGCGGCAGCACTGGAACCCCAGCTCACTCTGTTTCTCCTCGCGCCGCAGGTTCGTGAGCCGCATCTTTGTGGTGCCTGACCACCCCGAGCTGCTTGTGTCCTCCTCCGGGGTGAGTGTGCCCCTCCGGGTTCCCCTCAGTGGGGACCCAGCTGGAGCCATGCTTGGGGCCAGAGCTTACCTTTTGTTCCCAGTCGTAGCTCGGAAGTCAGGGTGTCCCGTTTTCACCGGTGGCCGTCCACTAGGGGGAGCTTGTTTTCTGGGTTTTGGAGCTGGCCGGGCCTGCTCCTTGCCTGTGACTGTGCTCCCGTCGTGTGCTTGTGGGTACATGTCTGCGTGTGTGGAGAGCTAGAGTGGGTGAGCAGGGAGTCCGGTTTGAGGGGCTGTTGTTGCACCTGTAATAACATCATGGTCTCAGTTCAGGTAGTTGATAGAGGGTCCCTTTTCTGAGTCTTAGAGGGACCTGGGTTCCATCACCGGTGCTGCTGACACACGCTCAGTAGCCCCACGTGTATCTTCTTGTGCCAGTGCCTGGTCATCGATGTGCCTGTGTGTGTGCATGTGTGCATACCTGGCCCGAGTACAGCCTGGCACGTGATATCAGGTGGTCGTGTGCCATTTGCCCATTTTGTTGTGTGGGGCCACCGGTTTTTCGTAATGACTTGCACGAGCTTTCTAGAGGAAAGAGCTGCCGGTTGGGAAGGGCGCCCTGGTTGTCCCAGAGTTACCTTCCCCGGGGCCTGGTGGAAGTCTGTGTGCTTGCGGGCAGGGCCGCGCCCCTGAGAGGGCGCTGACCATCGCTGTGTGCAGGACTGCACCCTGAGGCTCTGGGAGTACAGGCGTGGGCGCGAGCTGCACTGCTGTCACCTGACGCGCCTGCAGGAGCCAGCGGGCCCGTGGAGCGACCAGGTAACGGAGTTTGTCTCTGGTTTGTGGGGGCTGGCAGGGTGCCTCTCCCGTCACTCAGATCCTCCAAAAAAAAACGTTTTACATTGGAAACATTTCTTTGCTGTTAGCGCAGCTGGAATGCTTCCAGCTGGGGAGAAATCATGTATTTCAAAGTTTGAAGGCAGCTAGTCAATAAGTGGGAAATAATTTATAGCTTACCATGCTTGCATTCGAACAGCTGATATATAGAAAGGCCTCTAATCCCCTTAGAAATGGAAAATATAGTGGAGCTGGAGCAGAGAGCTTGGCTGTGGGTTTATCAGCCAGGCAGCAGGCTGAGTGCCCACTCAGCACTCTGTAATCTGTCACGGGCTAACCTCACGGCCCCCCAGATCAGGCTACCAGGCCCTTCGGTTGCCAAGGAGATCTGCAGGGGGCAAGGTATGGGCTGCCTTTCAAGGTCCCCAGGATTCTGTGCTCATGGGCACCCAGCTCTGATGCTCCTGGGCTAGTTCTATGCAGCCAGGGTCTGGGCTGGCTACACGTGGACAGCTTGCCAGCTTCCCAGCGGCCCCTCTGGGCCTGGTGGGGAGGGAGGGTGGGGCTTGCAATCATGTCTCTTCAGACCTGCAGAGCTGGGTGCCCTCTGCCTGTCCCCGGGGACACCGTGCACTTTCCCTTGCAGTCCCTACGTGGCACCCTGCCAGCCCTCGGGCACTCGGCCCTCCCTGTGTCTGATGAAGCCTGGTGTGAAGTGAGGGGCTTGCCTGCCTGGTCCTCGGCGTGGCTGCTCGTTTCCACCGTCTGTTCTGAAACTGGTCTCCGGCCTCCGTTGTCATAGGGCCTCAAAGCCGGCAGGCCGGGCCTGGCTTGGGCCAGGGCCCGGGGACCCCAGCCGAGGGCCTGCAGGGGCTGCCTGCCAGTGGCTCCAGCTGCTCCGGTTGTCCCGTGGGCGCCTCCCACTTGGGCTTCTGCAGTTATGGGAGATGTAGCAAACAGAGACCTGATTTGTCCTGGTAACTTTGCGTTTTTGAGCCCTCACGTAACCGAATGTTCTGACAGTGAGGTTGATGCGAGTTCTTTCTGAGAGTGGGGAGAGCAGGTGGTGGAGAGGGGGCTGGGGACGAGCAGGTCTCTGACCCATGTGGTGCACCTGGCGCCGCCTCTCGGGGCGCCTGCCTGCTCGGGCCGGGTGAGTGCCAGGCCCTTTCTTCTCCCCCTGTCGACGCACACTCAGTGGCTCTCCCCTGCTGTGCCTGCACCGAGCAGCCCCTCCTCCCCTGGTGTTCTCTGTTCCCTCCTGTCCTTGCTTTTTGACCAGTTCTGCTGGCTTTAGAGACACCCGCAGGCCAGAGCAAGCCACGGAGGGGCTTCCGCTTGTGCCCCAGCAGTTGGAGCCACTGGGACACCGGCAGGCAGTGGTTTGCAGAAAGTCCCAGCTCTGGCTTTGCTCTTCTTCCTGGACTGCGGGTGGGCGCTGTCGGTCTTACCGCAGCGTGTGCTCCCGGTGGGCACAGAACAGGTGGCGTTGGGTCCCCAACACGCAGTTAAGCTGCTGCTTTCCTTTCAGAGGTTTGCCGCGTCCAGGATCACTTACTGGAGCCGGGACAGCTGCGTGGCGCTGCTGTGTGACTGGTAAGCTCATTGCTCCCGGCCCCCGGCCGGTAAGGGGGATACACGATTGCTCTCCTGCCTCGGGAAGTTGAGACACTGTAGCGGTACTGCAGCTCCCTGCAGGGCCCCCTTCCTCAGGTGGTTGCGGTGTGGGCGCAGCCTCCTTTATGCAGGCGTTCTCTTACATGCTCTGTAAATCCTCTGGTTGAACGGACCGCGAGGCAGCGGCTGGTCCTTTGTGTGTGATCGAGTCCCACCTGAGGGCCTGTGGTCGATGAGATGGACGTAGGTAGCACGTGCCACTCAGCTGCTTCCTGCTGAGTGTCTTCTCTGTGCTGACTCCTCGCCAGCCCTCATAACAGGTCTCGGGAGGGTGTCTTGGCTTGTCTTAGAAATAAGGATGCAGGGTTGGAGTGGGGGAAGTGCTGGCCGGGCAGTGCTGGCCCGGAAGTGTGCTGTCTGCTGCCCCGCGGGCAGAACGGGTCTTCTCCACACTGTCCCTTTTGTCCTGTGTTGCCTGCCCTTGCTGCCTAACACGTTGTCCCAGGACTTAATGAGGCGGACGTTTCCTGCCTTCCAGCCTGTGGCTCAGGGCTCTGGGCGCGCCCAGCAGGTGCTTCTAGCGCAGGGAGGCCGAGACGTAGGCGAGGGCCGCGTCCTCTGCACTAGAAGGCGGGCCGGGGTTGGGAGCCGTGCTGCCGTCGGAGTCGGGCTGTGGGAGTTGTAACGCCCATTCTCGTTCTTGTGGGAAGCGTTCCTGTGGTCTACATTTTCCAGCTGGACGCCCCCGGACGGCAGCTGGTTCACAAACAGCAGCTGTCTTTCCAGCACCGAGTGTGGGACGTCGCCTTCGAGGAGAGCCGGGGGCTGTGGGTGCTGCAGGACTGCCGGGAAGCCCCGCTCCTGCTCTACGTGCCCGAGGATGGCCGGTGGCAGGTGAGTCGTGCTGGGTCCCTGCGGCCCCCGAGCCTGGGGCGGGGGCGGGGGGGCCGCAGCTGTCGCACCTTTCAGCTTGCTCACACCCTGGTGCCGGAGGGTGTGCCCTGGGATGGGGGGCCATCAGGCTTGTGGCCAGAGAGAAGGGAGCTGAGCTGGGATACCTGGCCAGCTTGCCCAGTGCTGTGAAGCCTACAGCGGACTTGGAGGATCCCTGTCTGGTGTATCTTCCCCATGCCTGTCCTGGTCACACTGGTCCTTTTAGCAGAAAAGCCGATGCTTGGTGTGCATCCTTAATGTTTGCCACGTAGCGAGGCCTTGTGCCGGGGCGCCGGTCCTGCTGGTTAGAGCAGCCCCCGGGTGTGGAGGAAGGTGTGTGGGCTAAGCAAACCCAGACCTTCTCTGAGCTGGCTCCCCCACCCACAAAGCGGGGTCGCGCTCGCCTTTCTGTCCCGTGTCTCGTGGGCCTGCCGTGGCCATAGATCTTTGCAAACTTTTGTGTCCTTTGTGGACGCTCACTTGGCCGAGTGCTCTGGGGAAACCCCTGAACCTGTCAGGTAGTTTTCTCTGAAAAGTGGCAACGAACAGATGCCACCAGCTGGTACCTGTCAGGTTGCCAGGCTTTGTCGATAAAGTCACATGTGACAAACCAGTACATGAAATGCCAGCGGCCCTCATGTCATGGGTCTTTGTACCGAGGAGAAGGGGTGGCTGCTGGGTTTGGTTAGCTGGCTTGGCCTGGTCTTCATGGAGGGGGCACGGCGTCTCTTCCCGGGCCTGCGGCAGAGACCCCCGCGGCTCTGCCTGTTCCCGTGCCAGCGGCACCTTCTGATACAGGGGTTCCCTTTGCCTCCCAGGCTGCTCCTGAGAATGCGGCAGTGAAGAAGGTCAGTGCTCACCTTCACAGGAACTGGGCCATGCTGGAAGGTGAGGGCGCGGCTGGTGTTGCAGGGACATGGCCACGGACAGAAGCAGATGACAGGACACGGGGCGCAGTAGGGAGCTGTGAGAATACGGGGTGTACGGGTAGTGCACGTGTCCCTGTTAGGGGCACCGAAGAGGCAGCCCACACCCAGGCAGGAATGCCAGGCGGGCCTCGGGGGGACTCTGCGTCAGGACAGTTGAGCTGCATGTGGTCAGTCGGAGCAGCATTCTGCCTTGTAGCCTTCGGGGCTGGGTGTTCGAAGTCCCCAAGGCAGGGCCAGTACCTGGTGTGGCACCCAGGTTGGGTGGGAGCCATTCGAAGCCCCCTGCAGGTGGCATTGAGTGACAGCTTCCCTGCTGGGAGGTGAGGCAGGAGGGTAACCTGTGGGGTTGCTGAGGGTCCTCAGCCCAGGGCAGGTCCTAAATAGGACGCCAGGCCACGAGAAGAGGGCGAGCCGGGGAGAAGGCAGGTCACTCCCACAAGCCGCTTTCTGGCGTGGGAAGAGGGCGGCGAGGCTGCCGGTTCCTCGGGCCCCAGGCGGGCAGGGAGCCCATGGCGAGCGCGGAGCTCTGCCACCTGGCAGCCTGTTGGAGTGCGTTGAAACGGTGAGACCCCCTCGGTGCGCACTGGTAGGAGGCGACCCCGGTCCCGCAGCCCTCGGCTGTTTGCCTCACGCTTCTCTTGGGCAGAGACTTTAATAAAGCAACAGCGTCTATTAAAGGGAATTGGCAACCCAGCACCGGACTTCAGGTGCCTCCCTTCCAGTAACAAAGCTGATGCCCAGAAGACACCTTGTGAAGCCAACCGAGGTTCCTGGGAGCCCTGGAGAGAGCCTCGTGCCAACTCGGGGTTTGTGGGAGCCGAGATGCGAAGGCCATGCGGGGCGGCCCCCAGGCCAGGCGTCCCCGTGCAGACCTGCTGGCCCTGTGCCTCGGGTTAAGTCCCGTCCGCCCCTCCCCTCAGGGCTGAAGGGCCGGGGCCGTGACAGCGCTGCGTCCCCTCTAGTGCGGTGTGGGTTTGCTTGGGCCACACCGGCCAAGCGGGTCTGCAGTGGGACCGTCAGGGACCCGCGGTGGGAGCGTTGTCCACAGGCCCCTCCTCACTCCTCTGGCACAGCTGTCCCTGCTGCCAGGGCCGGGGACCTGTGTCTTCTGCCCAAATGGCCCGCTCAGGGCCGGGCCGAGCGGTGCTTAGTGTCCCTCAGAGGCTTGGTGGAGAAAACCCTCCTGTTTTCAGAGGGGAGGCAAGTTGACCTTGAAAATCACAGAAGGGCGAGAGAGCCTAGGGGACTGGGGGGGCCACTCGCACAGGGCAGATGTTGGTCACATGTGGGACACAGGCCTGTGCGTCACTGATGGCCCCATGGAGTTTCCCACCGGGTGAGGTGGTCTCAGGAGTAGCCAGCTTTTGTGTTCTGTTAGAAGCGAGTCTGGGGTCCAGCGGAGGCGAATCCTGCGGGGGCCACCTTGGAGAAGGTGCCAGAAGCCCACAGAGAACTCCAGGTGGACACTGGGTTCATTCTCTGCTGCAGGAGGGCCTCGCGGGCCCTCCTGCTACTACAGGTGGCGTCCTGAGTCACCGTCCCACCTGGTGTCTGTTCTTGTCCCTCCTGCCCAGGCTCTGCTGGTGTGAACGACGGCTTCAGCAGTCTGTACAAGGCCACCTTTGACAACATGGCCACTTACCTGAAGAAGAAAGAGGAGAGGCTGCAGCAGCAGCTGCAGAAGAAGCGACATAAGAGCCCACCCCCGGGGCCCAACGGGCAGGCCAAGAAGGTGAAGTCCGGGGAGGGGTCCCAGAGCGGCTCGTCTTAGCCATGGCGCGGCTCTCCCAGCCCCGAGAAGCGGAGGGGTTTCACTCGTCCCCCCCTTGCCTGTCGCTCCTCTGAAGGAAAACAGGGACGTCACTGCCCACTTAGGCTTGGTGGCAGTCGGGTCCATCCAGCTTCCCAGAGACGGGGGCTGTCCCAATAACTAGATGGTATCCCAAGCTCCAGAACAGTCTGTCACTGAGCAGAGGCTCCGTGGAGGGTGTTCTGCACACCCTGCTGGTGACCGGGAAGCCGAATGGTGTGTCGACGTTAACTGGAGACACCGCAGGCGAGCAGCTCCGAGCCTGCAAGCGCCCCGCCTTCCTGTTGGAGGGTACAGGAGCCTGTGTTCGTGGCACTTGCTGGTTCTGCTCTTTCCATAATGCCACCCACGCCTGGCACAGCTTTCACCAGGGGACTCCATAAGCAAACAGTTTTACTCCGGCCTGATGGGTGTTTTCCTTTTGTTCCTGTCGGTGGGTCCGTCTGGGCGGCGTACTGCACTGTCCACCCCCGCGGCCACTCGCCATGTGGGGCCATCACAGCCCAAGGAGAGTGAAGTGCTCAGCTCCCCCCTCGGCCCTGGCCACGCGCTCCACCCTCACGTGTGCCCCGTCCCCACGCAGTGAAGGCTTCCGCTCAGCTGCGGACGTGAGGGCCTGGCAGCCATGCTGGCGGGGAAGTGGACTCGCTTCAGGATGTGAGAACGGAGGAGCCAGGCCGGAAACGTGGCTCCGCAGGGAAACGGTCGATGACATGTGTATTTATTATTTTGATTTGAACCTGGTGCACATGTCACGGAAAGCGGGGGTGTCAGCTGGATCTAATCACCAATCAATAAAGATGAGAGCCTTCTGCAGCTTCTGGAAGTGTTTAGCGGCGACGTGTGGAACTAATTTGAAAATATATTGAGCAAAACTGTTTTTGATGAGTGGGCTGTTTGTAATTGAACAGTTCACTTTTTGATTTGAAGCAAAAAGTTGGTGTGCTTCACAGGGTACTTGGAAACACATCATCCTGTGTATCAAAGGCTGGAATGCTTCACATTTTCCTTAAGTGCCTTTTAAGTAGTCAGAATTTACTTTGAACATAGATCTGAAAACTGCTGTTTATGACGTGCTCAGGATCGCCTCCCACTGGACAGCCCCAGGCCAGGGGTTAGGGTGGGGGTGCTTAGACAGAGAGGGTGCCCAGGGTGGCCTTCCTGGGGGAGGGGCCTGCCTCGGCTCTGCGCTGGGCCCAGCAAGTGTTCTCGTCAACCATCTGCTTCCAAATTCTTGGTTCTAAGGGAAATTTAGGTTTGGTCTTGGTGATGCTGTGTCTTAAGACTTGTCACCAAATCCTGTCTGCTGCCTGGTTTTGTACAGCCTGTGAGCTAAGAATGGTTTTCACAGTTTTAAATGGTTGTAAAACAATGAAAAGAAAGATAATACTTCATGATATGTGAAAATCATGCAATTCAAACTGCTGCGTCTATAAATAAAACGTGACGGGGCGCAGCCATGCCTGTTCGCTCAGGTACGCGGCCGTGGCTGCTCTGCGCTGCAGCAGCGGAGTGGGGAGCCGGCGGGAGGCCGCATGCCTGCAGGGCCCACGCTGTGTGTTGCCCAGCCCGGGAGCCCCCTCCCCTGGGCAGCGGGCCGGGCCACGCCACAGGAGGCGAGCTTGACTGATGCGCTTGAGTCATCCCGAAACCGTCCCCGGCTCTGCGGTCCGTGGAAATGTCTTCTACGAAACTGGTCCCTGGTGCCAAAAAAGTTGGGGACCACTGTCTAGCTCTTTACAAAAAAGTTTATTATTTGTGTGGTTTCTAAAACGAACTGGTTCACTTACTTGAAAAAAACCCAACCCTATTCTTCCTGTGTTCACATGAGCTTTCTCACCAGACCTCCTCGGTGCTCCCTGCGGGCGGGCAGAGCACGTGTCTGAAACACGGGCCTCAGTCCCCGGCACCCGGGTGCGGGCACAGGTTGGGAGGGAGCCCTGGTCTGGGGTGCGGAGCAGGGGATCGGGTGTCTAAGGCGGGTCGCCTTGTGCACACGTACCTGACAGTACGAGTGGTGCCCAGGGCAAGGGTTAGGGGATCGAGCAGAGTGGAGTTGGGAGCAACCACGGTCACCTGACTTTCTAGTGGTTGCTTTTACGTTACATTCTTGACATTCTTACCAAGGTCATACGTGATTTGACAGAGACCAAGCTGTGCTGACCGCTTGACCGTGACAACGATCCATCGCACCTTTTCCTCCCATGTCCCCCATTCCTCCTCCGCAGTGTGCGAGTGGCTCTCCCTTCACCCACACGTGTTCCCCTGCCGTCCCAGGACCGAGGACTGCAGGCTCCCGGCGGCTGTGGCCAGAGGAAGCCGGGCCGCTGCCGTGGGGCAGGGGGAAGGGGCGCAGCGCCCTCCTCTGCTGCAGTGTCCTGTCACGACAGCAGCCTTTTGGGGCTCTAGCTCCCCGGCCCCAGGGGTGGGGACTGCTTCTTTCTCTGTTCCGACATCTGCCCGTGTGCCCCTGGGATTAGCCCTTCCTGACGGGCCCTGACAAACCTCAGGTGACGTGAGCTGTGTTCTTGGGTTGACCCTCCCTGATGGGTCAACAGCCCTTCCTTATGTGTCCCCAGTCGTCCCAGACATCTGTTTGCTGGTTGGTAAACCCAGGCTCATGACAACCACATGTTGTATTTAAGTTAAAGTTCTTAGCCCTCCATCTGCAACAACAGTGCCCCCTTCCTTCTGTGACTGTGGCTTTTTGAGAAGACCAACTGCTGTCTCCCAACCTGCAAAACAGTTTCTTGATTCATCATTTTTGCCTGGAGCCCTACTGTGGGAGCTGAGGGCTTGGTTTCCTTACATGTCCCTAATTGCATTTTTCTCCTTTTGTTTTTTGTTTGTTTGTTTGTTTCTGTATGGAAGGATTTCTGGGGCTTTGTTCCAACTCACTCACTGATTTTTAAAAATTTGCCTATTAATCCTAAAGGTTCTAGTTCTTTTTTCATGTCAAGTGCAGTATAACACCTGAGAAGTGCACTTGGAATGTGCAAACTGAAATTTCACCAACTGGACACCCGTGTGGCAGTCCTCACCAGAAACGGCATTTACTAGCAGCTGAGAGGTCCCCCAAGTTCCGTCCAGGTTTTTACACTCTCTTTTCTCTTCCCCAGTGAAGGCCAGGCTCAGTTAAGGCATTAGTTTGCTTTGGCTCCACTTTTTGGATGAGATTCATCTATGTTGTTGCACTGGTTGTAAATTGTTCGTTCTCATTGCTACATAGTATTCCCATATGTGGAAATACTACAATGTATCCATTCTGTCCAGAGTATTCGAATAGTTTCCAAAGGGCCTGCAATGAACATTCTGGTCCTTGTCTTCTGGAACATATGTAAACATTTCTGTCCGGTGTATATTTAGCAGTGGAATTGCTGGCTTGTAGTTCTGTTTAGCTTGGACGATCCTGCCTGTCCTTGTTAATTCTAACCCCATCGCAGAACGTAAAACTTGGTGCATTCTCATGCTTGGCATTTGAGGGGATAATGTTGAATTTTGCAAAGGCACAGACTTGGGAGCGTGGGCCGGTAATGTGGGAATCAGTGAAGCTGTCCACTGTCACCCAGACTTAAAACTTGACCTTGTTCTTGGCAAGGTCACCTTCAAAACAGTGTGGACGACCCACTTTGGGGGATGCCAGCCATAGGGTCACGAGGACACTCGAGCAGCCTGTGAAGAGAGGTCAGTGGGCAAGGAGCCGAGGTCTCCCAGCAGCCAGTGACTGACTGCCTGACCTGAGCCATCTCAGAAGAGCTTCTTTCTAATATAAACGTAGGACACTGTAGATCCTTCCCTGCAGCAGCATTTACTTGAACGCTGTGTGTTGACGTGTACTTTTGTTTCTAATTTCCCTTGTGATTTCTTTGATCTCTGGGTTATTTGGATATGTGGTTTAATTTTCAGACATTTGATGTGTTTCTTCAGATTTCTTCTGTTATTGGTTGTTTTTTTTTATCCTCACCCAAGGATATGCTTATTGATTTTTAGGGGGGGCGGGGAGGAGAAAGACAAGCATTGATGTGACAGAGAGTCAGCAATTGGCCGCCTCGCACAGGCACTGACCAGGAATCGAACCTGCAACCTTTTGGCACACGGGTTGATGCGCCAACTAATGGAGCCACCCGGCCAGGGCGGTTTCTGGTTTTAATTCCATTGTGGTTGCAGGATGTACGTTGATCTTACTCCTGTGAAATGTAGTACGCTTTGTTTCATGCTTCACAAAATGCTGGCTACTTCACGTGCCTTGAACAGGATGTGCTCCGAGCTGTCAGCAGGCGGAGCACTCAGGACATGTGGATCAGCCTGTCAGCCCGTGCCCGCCTGAGCCCTCCCATCTGCCTAATCTTTGTGCACATCTGTTAATTACTGAAATCAGCACTTACATGTCTAACTAGAATTGTGGTTTTGTCTAATTATCCATTGTCCTGGTTTTGCTTCATAGATTTAAATCCTCTGATATTAGACATGCACACACTTGGGATTTGTAGTACCTGGGGGGGTGGCCCCCTCAGTGTCAGGAGACGTCCCCTCTTCACCCCCAGTTCTGTTGATGTAGCCACTCCAACTTTCTTTTGATGAGTGTTAGCATGAAATTTTTTTTTTCATCCTTTTCAAACATATGTATGTAAAGTGGGCTATTTGTAGGCAATGTACCTTTTAAAAAACCCCCAAATCTCATGGACACAGACAATAGTGGGGGGATGGCCTGAGGGAAGGGGGCAAAGCGAGAGGGAATGGGGACATGTGTGGGAGTGTAAACGATAAAAACAAAGTTTGAAAAATCCCCAAATCATTGGGTGTCAATGGAAATACAACCTGAGCCACATGTGTAGTTGGAAGGGTTCCAGTAGTCACTTTGAAAAGATTTTTAAAAGCAGGTGAAATAAATTTGAAAACAGTTCATTGAACCCAATGCAGCAAAAACAGCGTTCAACACAGGATCTGCGCAGCGATTCAGGAGCGCTCTCGTGTTCTACACTTCACCCTCATTGTCTGCAGGTTTGTCCTACCTGTGCCGCTCCCCGCCTCGGGTGCTCTGCCCCAGGTTCGCGCTGCCGCGGCCTCGGAATTCCAGCGTCTGCGTCCCGTGGGTGTCAGGCCCCGTTTGGGCTTGTCCTCCCTGGGCTGCAGCCAGGCACTTCCACGCCCAGGTCCCCGAGGGTGCGCCCGCCTTTCTTAGGGCAGGAGGGCGCTTCTGGACCTCGCCTGCCCCGGTCTGACGCGGAAGGCCTGGTTGCAGTTTGCATTTACGTTTGTCTCGTGATAAATGAGTGAGGGCGTCTGTTCTCTGAACTGACTAGTCTCCTTTGCCTGCTTGTTTCTCTGGGTTTTTTTGGGGGGGAGAGGGTGGGAAGAGGCACCTGATTTGAAGGTGACCTTTCTAGCTCTTCATTGATACATTAATCGCAAAAATTTTCCAGTCTGACTTGGCTTTTTTAAATGCTTTTTAATTCAGACTTTTTCATAGTCAGACTTGTCCATCTTTTTGTTTGTGGTCAGAAAGGTTTCTTTCTACACCCTCCCCACCTTTGAAATGGCCTCTTTGAGAAGCGGAGACCCAAGTGTGGGGCTGAGGACAGAAGTGGGCACACCTGGCACGGCGTGCGGACCAGAGGCTGGTGGGAAACCGGTGTCTGGGAAGACTGCGGTTTCCACGCCAAAAGCAGGTTCATTTTTTATATCCCCCAAGCCTGGCTTTCTACGTGTGAAATGGAAGCAAAGGGCGCTGTGGGGTTCACCGTGGGATTGGCCTGCTTTGAAGCAGAAAATTACAAGCCCTACACTGGGTACTATGTTTTGCTGCTTCCAATCTCATGACAAAGAAATGAAAGAACCAGAATAATAAAACTGCTTTCTCATG